CACTCATATTTTGTCTCTTATTTTTCCTTTTCATTGAATTTTATTTTTTAGAGCAATTTTAGTTTTAAAGAAAAATGGAATGAAAAGCAAGGTAGTTGCATCCGCCCTCTTGGCTCCGCAACGAGTGGGGAGGCCATCTCCCAGCGACATCTAGTATGACTGCAACACGCTTCCTGCGTCTGGTAGACCAGAGCGGAAACGTCCCTCGGCAAGTCCGTCGGGACGCTGGCATTCGGCTCTCTCTGAGCCTGCGGCAAATGTGTCACGCCACGTCCGCATCAGTGTTGCTCAAAACAGCTTCATTGCCCCCAGCATCCTCGCCAGCTCATCCCCTCTCCTTGACACTCTGCGCGTGCCCTCCCCCGACGGCCTCCGCCCCACTTCAGCACAGCTTTCCCGTGTCGGCTCGGCGTAGCGCTCCTATACGGTCGCGTGGCGAGGTGCGTGGCTAGGTGCCTGCACCATTATGCATGTGCCACAGAGTGTGATTCCACGAACCGAGGGGCAGCCTGCCACACCCCATCGAGCCCGTTGCCCACTGCTGTGGGGGTGCTTCGTCACCGACGGAAATGTCCCGGGAACTGGACTGCCTTGTAAGTTCGTGAAGGTCTCCTGCGGGTCACCTGCGGTCGGGTCCTGCTTTCTTGTCCACTCAGTCTTTTGATTTGTGCATTTAGAACACTGACATTTAAAGTGATTATTGACAAGTTAGGTTTAATCCCTAATAGACTCATTGTTGTTTTCTCCTTTTTAAGGTTTACTTATTTATCATACAGAACCGGGGTACAGGCCAGAGGTGCAGGGGCGGTGAGAGGACTCACCAGAGACAGAGTGGGGAGCAGAACAGGCGACTGACGAAGTCCACTGCTGAGGGGCGCTGTGGGCGGGTCAGGAGAGGTCTGCCGCGCCCTGTGGGTCACCTGCGGGCCCGGGGATCGAACTCGTGCTGAAGCGGCTGCGGCCGGCTTGCAGTGCTGCGTCCTGACCCGAGAAAAAGGGGTCAGAAAAAGGCCCACCACCAGGGAGGGCCCTGTTTCTTTCTTTAAACGTTTTTCCTGCCTTCTGGGATTTTGTTGAGAAGTGCGTGTGTCTCTAGTTTATATCTCTCGTATGTGCATACATGGTGGTCGACGCGTTCTGTCATACTCCTTTTAAAGGTGTTTAGTAGCAGTTCTTGAGTTTGCCGTGCATTCGTCACTGATCAAAGGCGCTTGTAATACTCGCCTTTCTGGGTGCTCTTTAGGTGGTTTTAACTTATTTAGTGTTGGGAGATGTTCAGGTTGAGCTGTGTGTTTCCAGAATTCAGACCCTGGACTCCTCGCCCAGCACCTCCCAATGTGATCTGAGGAGCAGATGGTTTCGTCACGGGGATGAAACATATCCTCTTCCATTGTTCCCGTGGCGGAGCTCACCAGCAGACAGGAAAGGTGTCTCTCATGGGGTAGGTGGAGCTGGGGTCTCATTTTTCAGTCGCCACTCGTCACGCCCTCCGAGCCACACTGTCCCCGCCAAGGCCCCGGGCTCCCAGGCACCAGCGGATCATCCTGAGCTCTCGCCATCTCCGTGCACACTTGTGTGCTGGCTTAGTTTATGTGCACGGAGTTTGAAGCAGCAGACAGGGAGGTGGGGGGGGGTGGAGTTGGGTGAAATCTGGCAACACTGAGCTTTTGCCATTTGAACGTGGCTTTAGGAGGAGAGGACAGAGCCATCGCTCGCGGCACTTGAAGAAAGGTCGTGTCGCTTTCAGTGGCAGAGGTGTCATCATACAAGCTATGACCAAAAAAGGTCTTTCCCCTCATGCTGGGTTCATGCAGGATCACATGTTCAAGCCCCGCCCAGGAGTTGCAAAAGGGTTGTGCAATGAGGGGTTTCCCCTCGCCGGTTTGCTTTGACAGAAAGGACAGATTAGCATCTGGCCCAGATTATGAGATTCTCGTGTCTGCTCAGCTGAACGTGCTGCCAGCAGCTGCTGCATAGACAGGGACTGTGAGTACCTTGGGGAGGGGCCGGCAGATAATGGAACATTCCAACGAGGGCTGTGCCCTGTTGGTGAAAAGAGGAACAGGAAGCTTGGGGGAGCGTCTGGGCAGCACCGTGATCTCAAGGGCAGGTGGTTACCGGGGCAGAGGGACTCGGGAAGGGCAAGACGGGCCCGGGTCCAGTTGCGTGTCGGCTGGACGGCTGTGCTCTGCCCCCGTAGCTGTGGCTACCAGGGGGTGCCTTTTGTCTGACGCTCCCCTCCCCCACTGAAGTGCTCCGCTTATGACTTAGATGGAGCTTCGCTGCGCATCAGCCCCCTGCACCAATGACATTCGTTCACCCACTGCCACCGGGATCTCACTTTGCGGAGGGGAAACCGCGGCCCTAAGTGACGAGGTCCCGGGCTCAAGACCTCACGTTAGTAAGGCGGCTGCGGAGGACGACAGCCAGAGCGCAGTGAAGCGACTCGCAGTTGAGCTTCCGAGAGGCGATGATGGCGCTTGTCAGCCCTCCCCCAAGCTGCTGTCCCTGGCCCCAGTCCCCCACAGGGAGGCAGACCACACACAACTCATCTCTTCCTGACGTCAGTGCTGAGTGTTTAAGGAAAGTGCACTTAAAAATACTCAAAACTGTAAAAAACATATTTTCAGTTAAAAAAATAAACCGTGTGGAATTGGAGTGAAACGTGAAGGTCAAAGACAATGAAAGATGGTAGCAGAAGGACTTTGAGAGTGTCCATTTCACCCCTGAGGAGGACCCCCCTTTTCATGCAGAACACTGGGCGGTTCTTTTTGGTATACAGTGAAAAATGCTAAATGAAAAATGCTTCATCCTTGACTGGCTATGAAAGGCCAAGACTGGAGGAATGGATGGTCGGTAGGTCGGTTAGGGAGGGGGAGGAAGAGCTTTTCCTGCCTTCTACATCCCCCCCCCCAAACTGCCCTCCCCTTCTGTCCTGTGTGAACCTGTCAGGCCTCTGCTTTCTACTGTAGTTCTCAAAGTGCGGTCCACAGACCCTTGGGGGGAGCCCAGCTCTGACTCCCTTTCAGAGGTGTCCTTAAAGTCAAAATGATTTTTTAACATTATTTTTCACAATACTATGTTTGCACTAATGGTACCAGAACCAAGGGGGGAAGACCCCTGAGGCCTTAGTGGGCCTCAGGGTGTGGGGTCAAGCTGTGCAAGGGCCTTTGTATTCCTTCCACCATGCACATGCAGGAAAAACTGAGTTTCACCTAAAATGTCCTTGATGAAATAGTGAAAATTAACTTTACTAGTAACTGAATGCACGTCTTTTTGAATAATAAAATGAAAGTACACAAGAGGACTTCCGCTGCCGTTCTGAGGTGTGTAGCCAAGCTCGGTGTGAGTTGCCAGCTAAACTAACCAGCCTGTTTGTGAACCCCTGCTTTATTTGAGAAACCAACTGATTGATGTTTATTCATCAATAAACATGTAAAATGGATAAAGTATATTTATTCATACTTGGGTGTCTGACACTTATTTCCTCAAAAACAGATGAAATAATCCTGTCACTCCAAAGACAACCATTTGAGAGTATTTGTTGCTGATGATAAAATTTGAGCTTCCAAGGGAAGATTTGAATTTTGGGAAAATTTTCTGCCACTGTAAGCTCGATAGTTTCCCAGTGCTTTCTGATGAAATTGGTGGTGATCGTCACGAATGGGATGGCTTGATACTGTATATTGAACTGTGTCAACATCTTGAAGCAATATTTTCCAAATGACTAATGTATGAGGTTACAAAATCACACAATGGTCAAAACAAAAAAGTCCACACAAAGTGCAAGTCAGTCCTTCTGAAAGCTGCTTCAGAAACGGCCACAAGTCCACCTTGGTTGGCACGGTGTGAGTCTCTGAAGAGACAGGAGACAGCCATCCAGGTTCGTCCCTCTTCCGGTTACATACCTGTGTGCTTCACATGGCCTCCGCATAGTCGGTGCTGGAAACACGTGGGGTGGAACACCCCCAGCTTACTTTAAGAATACAGTGTGCAGATAGTCTGTGTACCCTACAACACGGGCGTGAACTGGCTGTTCTTGGTAATCCCTCTGGTCCGTGGTAGACCAGTAGTTTTGGGGAGTCCAAAATTGGACTTGGACTTTGAATGACAAGGGAATCACAGGCAGTGGCCTGACCCCGAGTTGTTGAAGGGCCCACTGAGAATCCCAACAGTGTGAACAGCTCTCTGATTTAGTTATCTATAAAAAAAGTTTGAAAACAATAAATCGATGCCATTCTTAGTTTTTTGGAAGCCAGTGTTAATATGCAGTTAATAAAGTGAGTCATGTTTTTAATTTCTAATTTGGTGAGCACTGATGATGAGCGGTATGCTGGCGGATGTGTAACAACTATCTCCAGGAGGGGAGGGGTGCTGGTTGGTATCCAGGGTGTAAATACTCTCCTCATCACTGTCGTAACCACGTCCACATCCCCAGAAAAGCTGGGAGATGCTCTCTGACAGTGCTGGGGCCTGCAACAGGTTGGACACATCCCTGGGAGAACCACCCCAGGGTTCAGGGCTCCTCGCTGACTTTTTGAAGACGGATAAGGGGTCTCAAGAAGCCGCTTGAGCACAGGCATCCTGGGACCATCACCTCCTCTTCCGCTAAGTTATCTTGGCCCCCGCCAGAAGCCCAGAGTGGAAGCCTCCGTTGCGGATCATTGAACCTCAAATTCTGGTATTTTCAATACGCATTCTAAAACTTGATGGGAATCTCTGCCAAACCCCGGCAGAGACAAGGCCCCTGAGTCTTTCTAGTCTAATGGCTGCGGCAAAGAATTTCCGCTTTAAGAAACACCTTTCCGGAACGCCCTCAGTAGGGTGCAGCTGGTTCGGGATTTATAACTTGGTTGTAAAATCGGTTTCGACAGAGATGTGACTCAGAGCCTGGAAGCCCCCGAGGGGCTGTGGCTGAGCTCGACATCCACCCCCTCAGGGCAGGTGGGCGCAAAGGCAGTTACCACAAGGAGCAGTTTATATAAACAAAATACTTTATTATTTGAGAAAGAAAGGCCAACTACAAAATTTTTATACGTAGGTGGTTCATTAACATGCCAAAGATTTATAATGGACTTCGGTTTTCATGACTATTAGGAGCACTTGAAACCACCAGCTTTGTAGATAAAAAAGTCAGACACCGGCAGTTTCACGTGTTTCAGCCCCATGTAAAAGGAGCCGATGCCTAAGATTTCTTTTGGCAGCAAGACGTTCCCCAGCCCGTGTCTGTCTGTTGATGTTATAAACAGATGTTGGCGTGATAAACAGGTCCGGCTCGAGACACACATCCTGTGTTTATGGATCCTGGAAATCGCTGTGGGGTGGGCTCAGGCCCTGACGCCCGCTTCAGCTGGACTCCCGCAGCTCCCACCACCCAACCCCCTGATCTAGTTACGAGGACAGTTCTTCAGCGTCGCCGGCCACGGATGGGCTCGGGCGTTGGGTCACACGCTGAAATCAACTTGATCTTAACACAGCTGCACCAAGTTGGAAATCTCCATCGAAATCTTTTCGTCGGTGAACTCTCATTGCGCTCTCTATCGTGTGCCTGCCTGGCCTCTCTGGGCATTCTGCACCCAAGGAAACTGTTATGGACACTGAGCCAAGTGGGGAGGCATTTATTCGGACAGCCCAGCACCCGACAAGGGAACACGGAGGGACAGACCACACACTGCTGTCAAGAGGGTTAATAAACGCCCCCCACTTCAGCTCTGTACAGTGTTTAACTTTACATGGAGCTGAGATAAAAATAAAGCTTTCTTACAAATTACATTTTTTTTCCAGTGAATTACTTTTGCAGTAAAAATAGCTGCTACATAAATCCCTCCTGATCTCTGAAAAGGAGTCGCATATTTCCAAAAATAGTGTTCTTATTTTAACCACACGGAGTCATCTGGGGCACGCTGGTGGGCACAAAGGAAAGGCAGGTCAGGGCAGGGTGAGTCGGTGGGGAAACACAGTTGAACTAAAAAATAAGCTCTGTGTATAAACTGATTTACAGGCATGCACAGAAATGGAAAACAGATGCCATTTGTCAAGAAAAATTCTTCTTTAGAGCTTGTACATTACAATTAAAGGAGAAAGCTGACGGCCAGATGTGCCCAGCTATTGTAATAACATCACATTTCTTATAAAAATCCCCAAATGTACAAAGTTCTTGCCAGACACTAACTCAGGCAAAACCAAAGCCAGCCGGGGCCCCCCGTAGGCCTCCCTCACTCCTGTAGCCCACTGCCAGGTGCCAGGAGCGCCCGGCCCCAGGTCCGCCGGCCCTTGGCGGCCCCTGTCTGCACGAGGCCGGCGTGGGCTCTCGCAGGCGGCCGAACACGGCCACGTTCTTATTTCATAGTTATATAATTACTTTAAATTACAATATACAATTTCTGTTAAATAGGACTGCTAGAGGATTTTGGTAACAATTTAAGATCACAACAATATATATACAAACTTCTGAAATGGCGCCATCACTTCCTGGCACCCGCCCGCCCCTCTCGACAACGACGGCTTCTTGGCTTTTCCGTTCCTGGTCGCCAAAGGCAAGAAAACAAAACAGACAAAAAAAAAAAAAAGCTGCGTCCCCACGCGCCTGCTCCTGAGACAGGCCGCCAGCCGCCGCCTGGGCACCGCTGGAGGGCTCCCGGCTGCTCCCTGCCTCCGCTCGCGTGGAGAAGCGTCGGAAGAGCGTCTTCCCGTCGGCAGGTGTTAGAAGGGAGACACGGGCTGCTTTCGGCTCAGAACCGCGGTCCCGGACGAACAGGGCCTCTGCTTCTCGGCCGCTTTCGGGCGTGTTCACGCGCCGGCGGGGCCCGGGCGGGCCGGTCGGGCCGGCTGGCGCCCGCGCTCAGTCCTCCGTGTCCGGCTGGACGCCCAGGATGGCGTGCAGCTCCTCGGGCGTGAAGCCCAGCAGGTTCCGCAGGTCGCACACAAACCGGTACACGTAGCGCTTCCCCGACGTCTTGTGGATGATGTTCTTGTCGTAGTAGTAGCGCAGACCCCGGCTCAGCTTCTCGTAGTTCATCTTGGGCTTGTTCTTCCTCCTGCCCCACCGGCGAGCCACCTGCAACAGGCGCGGAGGGGAGGGCTCGCTGGGCAGCGCCCCCGAAAAGGGCGCCCCGCCCGCGGACCCACAAACTTCCCGGGAGCCGGGGCTCAGAATCGCGGGCCCTGAGCCACAGAAGGCCCCACGCCCTCGGCGCTCACTCGGGCCACTCCACCCAGGGCGGCCGAGGGGCTCTGAGCCCCGCGGTGTCACCCCACGTTCCCCCACCCCGAGGCGCTTGCCCGCCTGGCCGCCCACTGGCCCAGGGGTCCTTAAGTGGCAGCTGCCAGGGCTCGGGCCCGTGGGGCCAGCAGAGGTGCTCTGGGCTCCCCCGGTGAGCCCTGCTCTGCGCCTGGAGAGCTGTGCCCCCGCCGGGAGGAAACGGGGTGTGCGCCTGGCGCGGTCTCCCGGGTTGCTGTACCTCGTCGGGGTCGGCGAGCTTGAACTCCCATCCGTCGCCCGTCCAGCTGATGAACGACTGGCAGGACTTGTCGGACAGCAGCTCGAGGAGGAACTGCCACAGCTGGATGGGTCCGCTGCCTGCGGACAGGGGCAGTCAGACCCCGCGGACCTCCAGGCCCAGCTCCTCCCGGACCTCCAGGCCCAGCCACCCCGCGGTGGGCCCCGCGCGGCCTGGGGACCTGGGGCAACGCTGAGGGCTGTCGTGGGTGCAGCCAGACCCCAACGCGAGGGCCTCTGCCCTGCAGTCCCCAGCCCTGGAGAAGAGGCCACTCGCCCTTGATTGCTGGCTTGGTCCTTAGACAGGGCCACTGACTCTTGGCATCTAAATTCCTCATCCGGTTTAACTGCTCCTTATGTAACAACTTTCAAGGTTTATTTCTAGAAACACCCACTGGGACGGGTGGGGGCGGGAAGGGCATTCCAGCCCACCTCCAGGCATCTGTGGCATCCGGGCGGGCTTTCTGCCCATTGCGTAAGCCAAGACGCGGTTTGCTCAATGGCGTGGCGGCCTGTCCGGCGAGGTGCGCTGAGCGGAGGGTGGCACTGCCGAGAGCCGCCCCCTGGCGAGGGGCAGCGCCCGGCCGCTGGAGCAAGAGGCGGCCTCAAGCCGGGGCTCCTGTCCGCTAGGCGCTGTGCCTGGGATAGCCCAGATGGGCGCTCTGAGCACGGAGAGCGGGCCGGCCCCGGCTCCCCATGTGTCAGAGGCGCCTGTACCCCCACTCCCGCTGGGCTGTCCGAAGGACTAGCTGCATGGAGTCGCCACAGGGTCACTATCACGAAACTGAAGAACCCCGCAGCAGGCTGCTGGCCTGTCGGGGCCCGACGGCCCACGGCCCCCGCGTCGGCTGTGCTGTGTGACTGAGAGCTGCTGCCGCTCTGTGTGACCACTGGGGGCTTTGTGGGGGTCCCCCGTCGGTGGTGGCTCCACGGACTCAGCATACGCAACGCACACACATCTGGCACATGAAGCGGCGGGGCAAAACCGAACTTGGTATGTCCCGTGAAGTCGTAGGCATGTGGCTCTAAAACAGGCTTCTTAGAACTCTGACTTAACCTTTAAAATAAGATGGATTTCGGGAGCGCGGAAAAGCCAACAGCCGCGTAGCCGAGGCCGGGCCTGCTGGCCTGGCCAGCGCCAGTTTACATCCTCCGAAATTCCTGGAGGGCTGAGTCAGAGCACAGGACTCCGCGCCGCCCCCGTCCCTGCTCCTCTCCGGAACGGCCGGGGCATCCCAGGTGAGCAGGCGGCCGAGGGTTTCACCCGGCCCCTGAGCTCTGCATCCAAGCTGCCCGCAGCGTTGGCCTTTGCAGAACTCAGGGGTGCAAGGAGCCTGGATTCAGCCCTACACCCCACAGACAAAATGTGGGGCGTGCATAATGACGCGCTCAAGCTAGGAACACCCGACAGCAGGCGCTGCGGCGGGCGGGGAGGGCACGGCCGGGCGGCACTCACCTGTGAAGCCGGCCAGCACGGCCGCAGGTATAACTGGTTTGCCTTGCTCTACCGGGTCGCTCCGCTCCTGGATGTAGTCCTTGAAAGACATGGTCGGCTTGCTGAGGCACAGGGACTGGCTGCAGTCATCCTCGAAGCTCTCGAAGGAAGGCACCCGCTGGACATCCAGCAGAGAGGACTGGCTGTTCCATGACTGCAGCAGCGAGTCTGAGCTCTCGAAGCTGTCTGGGCCGTTCTCGGGCGAGTCGTGGTCTCTGGGCTTCCCTGGAAAACACAACCAAGCGCTGACTCCTCCAGGGCGTTGGAATAAGGAACCTCCGAGTGCTGTGGGCTTGGCGGCTGCGTCCCCCCCGCCCCCCCCCCCAAGCAGCCATCTCCCCTGCTGTTGCTGAACGCTTATTCCTTGTGATCAGCCAAATCCTCCCTCAATGGTATGTCAGATAAGTCAATGGGAATGTGGGCTGTGCAGAATAAAGTACTACACAGCAATGAAAAAGGAACCATGGCCGCCACGTCCAATGACATGATAAATCTCAGACAAAACGACCAGGCCAAGACAGTCACAAAGAAAACACATGGAATGATACCAGGGATGTCCAGTTCAAGAGGAAACACTGGAAGTGAGGGGGGTGGTTTCCTTTGGAGGTGGGGATATCACTGACTGGGCTGGATATGAAGAAGCCTTCCTGACTGGGGACTTCTCTCTCCATCTGAGTGGCTGTTCCACATTATAGATATGTAAAAGTCCTCCAGCTGCACAGCCTAAGATTTATGTATGGTACAGATGTGTACATTTAAAAATAAAAAATGTGTCACATTCCTTCCTCATCTCCCCAAATTTTTCACTGGGGGAGAGGGGGGAAGAATTTAGTCGTAAGTGCAGTGCTATGTCCGGCTTACTCAGCAGCCTCAGTGCCCAGACCAGGGGCCCCGAGGCAGGGACGACCGCCAGCCCATCAGTCCTTTGTGATGGGGGCCAGGGGCAGCGGGCACTGGGCAAGCACCGGGCCCCACAGTGGCCCAACTCGGCACACTGAGCAGCTCCCACCTGACTGACAAGCGGCTCGAGCCTGCAGCCCGAGGGGAGCCGGGAACTTACCGGAGCTGTTGGCGAGCAGATTCAAGTTGCCGCCCGGGAAGTCCTGGCTGACGAGGCCGTAGCTGACACTGACGGTGCTGAGCCGAGACTTGGGGAACACCTGAAACTCCTGCTCAGAGCTGAGCGCGCGGGGCGCCCCTGAGGAAGGACACATGTTGTCCAGGAGGCCGCCTTTGGGGTAACTCTGCGCCTGCATCCCATACGGGGCCTGCTCCACGCCGAAACCTGGAAGCCAACGGTCAGACCGCAGCGCGGTGAGGCGGGTCGCGTGTCCCCACGAGGGCTGAGTCCCCAGCGGGTGTCCCCACACGCCCCTAGAAGGTGTGGGGGGCAGAGGGCTGCATCTCTGACCGAAACGCCGCTAAGCCATGGACGGGGAACCCCGTGGAAACTCCCGGGAGCAGCGCAGGGCGGGGGGCGCCCGTCACCCACCCTGTGGCCGGCTTGCGGGGGACTCTGGGGGGCAGAGGGCGGAGCACTGCTCCACACGCTGCCTGTGCCACCGTCCCAGCACGGCGACAGCTTGTCTCATCCTGTCCCTGGGCCCCTTCAGGGGACAGTGTACACTGCTTTCACCCCCCGGCTCCAGGCCTGGAGCGCAGCTGATGAGGCCGCCACAGCTCCGTGGACACCTTGCAGCAGCCAGGTCGGGCCTGGGCGCGGCGCCGGACCTGGGTAATCCGACAGCAAGACTCAGCGGCGAGAGCGGGGCGCACAGGACTCACCTAACGAGTTGCTACTGATCCAGTGAGGAACCGAGTTGAGGTGTGAATTCTCTTCGTACTGCTCTTCTGTCTTCTCCTGGTTTTCTGAAACACAGATACGGGCCACATGAGCAGGCAACTCGAGGCTGAGACTGCGCAGGTAGGTGCGGCGCCTTCCGGAGGCAGACGCGTATTCAGAGCAGCCTGGCAAGACGCTCAGCTTTCGAGCTGCTGTGCCCCACGCCACGGTGGTCCTGAGCAGCCAGAGGCACCAGCGCGTTTCTGTGACGACCAGGCGTGGGATCACGTTTTCCAAAATGAAAGCCGTCACGAAGGCCCAGACTGCATCTTCGCCCATGTCGTCCACAAACAACCAAATATTCAGAGTGCCTCCTGGGTGCGGCCAGGGGACCGGAGGGTCGGTGAGGGGGACCGCCCCTGCCCCGGAGGCTCTGGGAGGAACGCCCCTCCGGTGTGGGCAGTCTGAAGGGGCCCGGTGAGCTGCCGTAGCCCCGCCACAGCCCACACATACTCCTCGGGATCCAGAGCCCGCCTCGCGCCCGAATCACAGCCACAGTGCCTGGAGATTTCTCAGATCAGACTGGTCAAGTCGAGCACACTCAAGTTCCTAAGCTTCCCTGGCCTTTAGGAACCTAAACAAGACAGCTGGCAGCTGAACCCCAAGGGCTGGGTGAGAGTGAATCTGTGAGACACTCGGTGCTGAAATCAATCAAACGGGGACCATCTCCCGGCACTCTGTGAGCACCCAATTAGCCTCGATTTCACCTCCACTAATTATTCCTCCTTTGACTCAACGGTTTTACCATTGAGGCCATCAAGACCAGGCCGCTACGGGGTGACAGCTCCTCTGGACGGCGGCTTTAGTGGAAAATCAGTGTGTAAGCAGATCGTGGCTACTTCTCCCCCATCCTCGGCGGGCTCGGGGTGGGCACGGAGTCTGACGCCGGCCCGGGCTCATCGCTTCAGCCCAGAGCTCGGCCGGGCAGGTCCTCGGGGGGAGGCCGCCGCGGCCTGTGACTGCCCGGATGGCCGCTCACGCACACGCTGCTCCACGCAGGCACGTGGACACACACACCCTCCAGCATCAGCACCGCCCCCGTGCGTCCCGCCGGCCACGGGCCCCGGTCACGTGGCAGGGCACCCTCGGGCCAGAGAGCAGACCCGCTGCGCTCAGCTGGTACCTTTGATCATCTGCTCGAGGTGTTCCCAGAGAATGTCGCCCACGAAGTCGGGCGCCAGCTCCAGGAAACGCTCCTTGCCGAGGTCGCACAGCACCTGGCCGTTCATCCCGAACCGCTGGATGTTGACGTCCACCAGGCTGAACTCGTTGGTGGCCCAGAGGAGCCACTGGCACACCTGCTGCTCGGTCCACAGCCAGGGGTCTGCGGGGGCAGGCGGGGCGCGGTGAGACCAGCGTCTGGCCGTGCCCGCTGACCCACCGAGTCGGGAGGCCGCCCGGACCCCCGGGCGGACACTTACTCTTCGGGATGCCCAGACGGCGCTGCTCCTTTCTGAAGCCGCTGAAGGTGGCCTTGAGGGCCTGGCTCATCACCGCCTTGCTGCAGGGCGTGAGCAGAGGCAGCTCGCAGCTGGCGGAGTCTGCAAGGGAAGGCGGGACGTTAGGCGCGGCCACGCGGGGAGGAGGGGGGTTCGGGGAGGATCTTAGCTCCCAGGGAAGAGGGTGCTGATGGCAAAGCTTGACGCCGTTCCGTGGCACAACTAAGGGAAGACGCTGGGCTGAAACGGAGGAACCACCACATGGCGTAGGGCGACGCCAGAGCATCAGAGCAAACGCAGGCTTGACTTTATTCTGGAGAGACCCTACAGCGGCTCTGCCTGGGTAAAATGTTTATCCAGATCGAGTGACACCTCTGGACAACGCAGGGTTGGTGGTCAGAGGCTTCGGGGCTGTCAGTGCCGGTGTGAAGGGACGTCACGAAGCCAGGCTGCAGCCGGCCCTGTCTGAGGGTCACCACACAGGCCCTAGGCTGGCCGGCCCCGCGGCCCCGCGATGCAGCCTTCCTGGGCGCCCTCCAGCGCGTCCGGAAGGGTGAGTGACCGGCAGGGGAGCAGAAGCTCACGCAAGCCTGTGTGTTTCCACCAAGTTTCTGTACTTTCTAGCACCTTCTTCAAATGACAAAGTAACTGGGGATGTTTCCGACGAAGCCTCTGCTAGCTAGCTCAGTCACACTGGCGGCACAGGTGTCACCTGAGGTGCTGCTCAGTCACACTGGCGGCACAGGTGTCACCTGAGGTGCTGCTCAGTCACACTGGCGGCACAGGTGTCACCTGAGGTGCTGCTCAGTCACACTGGCGGCACAGGTGTCACCTGAGGTGCTGCTCCTGAAAACAGCAACGGCAGCGAGAGCCACAGAAACAGACACAGATGGTGACAGCTGGACCAGGCTGAGCCTCCCACACTCGGGGGCCGGGGGCGCTGCCGGCCTCCGGAGTGAAGATCGGGGTGCACGTTAGTGCCCACTGGTCAGCCTTGCAGAGCGCCTGGGAGAGCGGCCTGGGCTCGCTGCAGGGTTAAAACCTTCCTGGTGCTCGTCTCAGAGGCCCCCCGCAGGCTGTGCTCGGTCCCGCTGGGGCGCGTGACCCCAGAACCATCAAGCTCATGACCGGGGAGGCCGCCTGCCCCCAGGGAGGCCCCGATCCCTAGCGGAGTCTGGGTCCCACGTGCAGGACCCGCGGCCTGTGCGGCCGGGGAGCAAGTTACCGTGAGAAATGGAGTCCAAGCCCGTGGGCACCTCCTGGAGCGTCTGCTCTTCATTCAGGGACGGGAGCACAGCAAACAGAGAGCCGTCGAAGGCGTCGAAGGCCGGCTGGCGCTGCGGACAGGCAGGGGGGACGAGGCGGGTCAGCCACTCGCCAGGGCCAGTCCGTGGGCCCGGTCAGGCCGGGCTCCGGACAGTGACGTCCGGGCGGCACTGGGGACTCGGGTTTCCTCACTGCTCTCGACCTCACGGAATCAGAGCGACCGGGATTGATTTTTAAGCAACTAAGTCAACAGCCCTAAACAAACAGAAGCTCAGCGGAGCAGGGCGGAGGCGGTGGGGGTGGGGCGGGAACCGGGACCGGAACCGGGACCAGCCCTGGCCCGGCCCCACACGGGGAGAATTTGGCGGGGCCGTCCGTGTTTAAGGAGAAGGCCCCGGAACGGGCCGTTTAGTTCACTGCAGCTGAAGCACAGTGACCGAGGACCGAAAGCTGAATGAGGGAGTGAACGACCGCTGGTGGCCCCTGACATGTTTGCCGGAGACACCGGACCGGGGTCCAGGGCGGCCTCGGCAGCCAGGCCCGTGGTCGGGCGCTCGGCCGGGGTTTCGGCGCCGCGCCGTCACGGCTGGGAGGCGGGAGCGGGGTTCACCCGGCCTGTCTGCAGTCCGGGGCGAGTGGCACAGGGCGCCGGCACCCCGCACGCCGACTCCCCACGCGCTCAGCCCGTTCTGAGTCTGAAGTGACAGAAACGTCCTGATTCACCGCTGCTGCGCTTGGGGAAGAAAAAAGTGGAAGAAAGGGTCTTTTTTCCAACCTAAGCTGGAAATAGTATGTGTGATGTAATGAACGACTCGGTTGAGTCATCAATGAAAAAAATGTGTAACACATTTGCCAATAACAGCTGAGTGCCTGCTTCTAGTAACAGACAGTGCGGGAGGCGGCCGGGGAGGGACAGGCGACCCTGGCCGGCCCGAGGACCAGACGCCCGAAACTCGCCCAGGTTACGGGGTGACACGACCTGCGACTCGCCAGTTCCCGCTCCCTGGGCCCAGGGACCGAGGGCCGCACCTGTCCTTACTCCCGAGAGTTTTGGGGTGTTTTGTTTTTTTTTTCCTTTTTTATAAGTTTATTTTTACATCATTTTGTACATTTTTTTTTTCCATCTCGATTGTCATCGCCGCGGGTTTCCCATCACCATGTCACCCGTGTGCCATCACCATAATCCCGTGCACTCCCCTCCCCACCCCCCCGTTTTTGATCCCATTGGGGTGTCTTGGTTTTTAAATCAGGAGCCAAGTCACAAATCGGTGGTGCACATTTCAACACGGCACCCCAGCACCGAGGGTTTCCCCTGCACATCCAGAGGTCGCCCAAGCGCCACCCCATTCTTGGAACTGACATTAGAACTTCTCCTTCGAGGGGTGTGGTGTCAGACGCAACACGCGGATTTCCTGTACCGTTCCCGACTTGGCCTGACCACAGGGAACAGGAAAGAGGGCCAGCCTGGAGCTGCCCGCCGCCCCCCCAGGTGGCCCTCAGAGGGCCACCGCGCAGCCGGCCCCTCGCATGTGCCGGCAAGCGCTCGCCACATGTGCTATGAGGAGGGGCCGGCCGGGCCCCAGTGAGGCGTGTTTACTGGCCAGGCTGACCGGCAGCCGGCTTCACCTGGGAGCCGCTGGGAAGCCGTAACGCAGCCGCAGCACCCCAGAGGGTGAAGGCAAACGGCAGCAAGCTGAGGCGTCCTCGCTGATCTGGTTTTTGTGCCACCCAAGGAGATGTGGGGGGGGGGGGCTGCCTCTGATGCAGGGTCCCGGCTCCTGGGGATGCGGGCGCAGCTGGTCCCCCGCTCTCTAAGCACCTTCATTTCACTGCTCCCCTGTCCGTCACCCAAGCCAGGTCCTGGGTGCGGGCAGACAGCTCCCCAGCTCTGTTGAGAGTCAGAGGATCTTCACTTGCAAGGAGCCTCAAAAATAAGCTACCGGCCCCCGGTCTGCAGATGAAGAGGTTTCCAGTCCTGGACAGGCAGAGTGGGCATGGGTGCCCACCAGCAAATAGAGGCGCGGGAGCGCCCGGGGCCCACGGGCAGTAGTCACACCAGCGCGAGGCCCAGCCTCCCCCCGGCCTCTCGGGCTCTCCCGGACTGAACCTCCAAGGGAAAAAGGTCGTTTCGACTCGCTCGCTCACCTTGAGTGTCCCTCGGTACGCGCTGGACACAGGAGCCACCTGGTCCATGTTCTTCATCCCAAAGTCATTCATCTTAAAGGAGAAAGGGAAGCAGAGAGAAAGGGGGAGTCACAGAGGCAACTTTCAAGCAAGCACATTTCAACTTTGCCCTGGCCTCCCCCTCAGGAATTCTTACTGAAAGGCCTTGTCCACAAAGGGCTGCCATTTAAGCCATTAACTAATAATGCCAGTTCCCCACAGAATTCCACTTAGAAGGGGCTCAGGAGAAAGGCACTCTGGGCTGAGTGGTCAGTGCCTCTCAGGGGAGCCTGGGGGGGGGCAGAGCCAGGGGCCAGCGTCTTCCCAGACCAGTGGGTGGGGGCGGGGAGGATGCTTTTGGCCGCCATTTCCACACATGGGGGGGGCTGGGGCCGAGGGGACTCCGCGAGGCCAGGCCAGCTGCCCCTTTGGGTCTCCCAGCGGACGGCGGTCCAGGAAAGCTGGCTGGAAGCAGCTGGCCC